TGCACCTTCAAGATGAACATGTTTTATTATACCTTCATTTCACAGACTGCAGTCCACTGTCAAGTGCCTGAAACATTTCCTGAATAAAAGATGGAGGTGTGTGTTTTGGTCAGGAAAGTGAAATGATGGATATAGAGCCACTGCTTTTAAGCTGAAAGAGTGGTGTTAACCATAACCAGGATGCCACTGCCAAAAAGTGTATTTCATTTCATGTGGCAAGAACACTCATTAGTGTAAATAACCTGAATATAGGGAGAAAAAGAGCGTTGCTGGCAGGCAATTGTATATGTAATATTGGAAGTTGTCTGACGGGATGGAAATAAAGTTGGCATGTGGGTTTACTACAGCATATGATCTGTATTTACAGTTATCAGGACTTTAATCTACAAAGACATTGGCCATATAAAATCTGTTAATCTTTGAGGTGCCATAAGACCGTTGTTTTTGCTGCACCAGATTAACAGTGCTACCATCTGGACACTGATGCTTACAGACAGTGTGTTTACTTAAGTCTGTCAGTGTCATATACCTTCTAAACTTGGTGGTGGTTGTGTCCTTTAAGTCATTTCCTAAGGAAAACCTAGCAAGGGGTTTTCTTGGCAAGATGTCTTCAGAATGGCTTCTCCATTGCCTTCCCATGAGGCTGAGAGTGGGATTTCATGGCCAAATAGGGTCCAAACCCTGGTCTCCCAGAGTCCTAGTCCATTATTCAAGCCACTGTACCATGCTGGCTCTTCTAAATTTGGGCTTCCAACAAAACTGAGTATATTCATTACTTTTGAAATACTATTCCAAATTCCTAAATTAAAGTAAATATTAAAGAGGGTTTTCACAAGGGCCAGGAAGTCCCACCCTTGCCATGCAGGATTACACAACTAAAGCACTCTTTAGAGATGATGGCTGAAATATATGGCTGACACAGCTAATATATCTACCATTTACCAGTGGTTCTCAAACTGGGGGGCAGGACTCCTAAAGAAGATGTAAGAGTTGCTCAAGAGAGGCACAAGACTTGGAGGTCCTGATCACTTTTCCTCCCAAACTTTTTTATGTGGAAAATTTACACACATGTTGAGTTAAATCTTCAATTTACTTAAATAAAACTGTTCTAAGTTGAACGATGTTATTTCCTTGTAAAATGTTAAGATATGAATTTTATATATACACATACATACATACATATATATATATATATATACACACACACACACATATCGTATATAAATGATACATGTTCAGGGGCTGTGTTAGCTATATAGAAAATACAGTACAGTAACATCCAAAATCCATGAAACAGTGATACTTGTAATCAGCCAACCAAAATGCACAAAATACATAATGCAAGCTTTCGAAGCTCCACTGGCTTCTTCATCGGGCAAAGATGTTAAAAATCATACTGGAGGAAAAAAATATATAGTGACAGTTGTAAATGATGGACCTCTAAATGATTATAAGAGCCAGCATGATGAAGCGGTTTAAGAACATTGTGGGACCAAGGTTTGAATTCCTGCTCAGCCTTGGAAACCCACTGGGCAAGTCACACACTCTCAGCTACAGAAGAAGGCAAAAGGCAAACCCCCTCTGAACAAAACTTGGCAAGAAAACCATAAAAGGAATGACTGGAAGGCACCCAGAGCCAGTGTGGTGTAGTCTGTAGTGGTTTGAGTGCTGGACTTGAATCCCATAAAACCTACTGGGTGACCTTGGGCAAGTCACACTCTCTCAGTTTAAGGGGAAGGCAATGGCAAATCTCCTCTGAAGAAATCAAGAAAACCCTGTAGTAGGTCCATCTTAGGGCCACCATAAGTCAGAAACAACTTGAAGATACACAAGGCATGTTGTGGCCTTCCAAATTTTGGACAGAGAGTCCCATTATCCTGAGCCAGCACAGTCAATGGTGAGGGATGGGATCCTTTATTGTTGTTGTTGTTAACTGCACTTGAATCGATGACCCATGGCGACCACAAATCCTAAGCATCCTAAATATAACAAAACTATCCTAAGAATAACAAAAAGGCTTGCTGTAGCCTGAAAATTAATATATCTATTATTGGATAAACTTTAGTGGGAAAGCCAGTGTGGTGTAGTGGTTTGAGCGCTGGACTAAAGCTCTGGGGACTGGGGTTTTTGAATTCCTGCTCAGCAATGGAAACCCACTGGGTGACCTTGGGTGAGTCACACTCTCTCAGCCACAGAGGATGGCCAAAGGCAACCCCCCTCTGAACAAATCTTGGCAAGAAAACCCTGTGATAGGATTGCTATAAGGGAGACATGAATGGAAAGCCAGTATGGTGCAGTGATTTGAGTGCCGGACTACGATGCTGGAGAACAGGGGTTGAATCCCATGAAAGCCACTGAGTGACCTTGGGCGAGTCACACTCTCTCAGCCTCAGGGGAAGGCAATGGCAAACCTCCTCTGAGCCAACCTTGCCAGGAAAACCCCATGGTAGGATCACAGAGTCAGAAGAGACCACAAGGGCCACCTAGTCCAACCCCCTGCCACTGCCTTCCCCTGAGGAGGCTGAGAGCATGTGCCTCGCCCAAGGGGATCCAGTGGGTTTCATGGCTGAACTGAGAATTTGAATCCCGGTTCTCAGATGGCAAAACTCGCTCTGAAGAAGCATGCTAAGGGGGGGAAAAAACCAACTCCACGATAGGTTCACCACCGTAGGGTGGCCATAAGGGAGAAAAGCCTTGACGGCACCCAATACACAGGAGCGTGGGGGGTGGTTGCCCTTGCTCCCCTCAGGGCGGCCTCTTCAGGGCCTGGAGTAGGAGTAGGAGTAGGAGCAGGAGCAGCCTACTGGGCCGCTCGGTTGCCGGGGCAACGGGGGGAGACGCGCGGGCGGGGGGGAGGCGCCGCCGCCGCCGCCGCCGCCATCACCACCACCACCGCCAGGCGGCCTCCACCGGCCTGAGGAGACTGATTTTCTCCCTTCTCCCCTCAGAGCCTGGCGGTGGCCCAATGGCCGGGTCGGGGCTGGGGCTGGGGCCGGGGCTAGAGGCGCCGGTCGGCGTGCCTCCCTTCCAGTTCCGCGCCCGGCACGAGAGCCCCGACTGGCGCCGCCTGAGCTCGGTGGACGTGGACCGGGTGGCGGCGGAGGTGGACGTGGCGGCGCTGCAGGAGCACCTGGCCCACGTCGCCTTCTGCACGGCGGAGCGGGAGCGGTGTCCGCACTGCCAGGCCCCCGCCGACCCGCTCCTGCTGCGGCTCCTGCGCCTGGCCCAGCTCTGCCTCGAGTACCTCCTCCACTCGCAGGACTTCCTGGGCGCCCAGCTCCGCGCCGCCGGGGAGGCCCTCCGCGCCGCCGACGCCCACCGAGACCTCCTGGCCAAAGAGGCCGCCCGCGGCGCCCAAGAGGTCCGGCTCCTCAAGGAGGAGTGCCGCCGGCGGAGGAAGATGCTCGGCGCCCAGCAGCAGGTCATGCTCCAGGCGGGGGCCGCCCGCCACCAGGTCCGTCCCTTCTTCCCTTGGGGAGGGAACCGTAAGGCGGGTTGACGCCGCTTTAATGTCGGAACGAAGGCCTCCAGAGAGAGGACCGGCCTTTATGAGGAGAGACTGAGGGGGCTGGGTGGCATGAAGGAATGCATAGATAGCCACAACAAGTCAGCATGGGGTCCAGAGAAACCAGTCCTGCCCAGACTGATCTCTCTGTGGGCCTTTGCAGACTGCCAGAAATAGTGCAGATTGAGTCCACTTTAAGGGTTAGGGTTAGTGCTAGGGAATCATGGGGATTGTTGTTGTTTTTCTCTGAAACATTGAGCCTTCTGTCAGAGAGCTGTGGTGCCACAATAAAATACAGTTCCCATCATTCCCTAACCGTTAAAGTGGACTCAATTTGCACTATTTCTGGCAGTCTTCAATGCCTCCCCCTCTCTTTTGGATAAAATTACCAGCTGGGTAGATGAAGGGAGTGTGGAAGACATAGCATATCTTGATTTCACTAAGGCCTTTGACAAGGGCTCCCATGATGTTCTTGCTAAAAAGCTAGTAGAATGTGGGCTAGACAATGCAACTGTTACATGGATTAGTAACTTGTTGACTGACCAAACCAAAGGGTGCTCAGCAATGGCACCTTTTCATCCTGGAGAGAAGTGACCTGTGGGGTGCCACAGGGCTCTGTCCTAGACCCAGTGCTATTCAACATCTTTATCAATAACTTGGATGAAAGAATAGCAGGCATACCTATCAAATTTGCAGATGACATCAAATTAGGAGGGGTAGCTAATACCCCAGAGGACAGGATGAAAATTCAGAATGACCTTGATAGATTAGAAAGCTGGGCCAATGCTAACAAAATTAATTTCAACAGGGAGAAATATGAGATACTGCACTTAGGGCAGAAAAATGAAAAGTACAGATATAGGATGGGGGACACCTGGCTGAATGAGACTACATGTGAAAGGGGGATCTAGGAATCCAAGTGGACCACAAGTTGAACATGAGTCAACACTGTGATGCGGCAGCTAAAATTGCCATTGTGATTCTAGGCTGCACGAGTAGAAGTAAACTGTCATTTCTTTCACACTGAGCCAGCATGGCTTAGTGGTTTGAGCATTGGATTATGACTCTAGAAACCAGGGTTTGAATCCCTGCTTGGCCATGGAAACCCATTGGGTGACCTTGGGCAAGTCATACTCTCTCAGCCTTGCAGGATGGCAATGGCAAACCCCCTCTGCAGAAACATCCCAAGACAGCTTCACCTTAGGGTCATTGTAAGCCAAAAAGGATTTGAAGGCACAAAATAACAATAAAGCTACATCCTGTAGAATCCAGGGATTTGTAAATTTATTAGGTCTTTCACCTTGTCTGCCAGTACTGGGTACTGGGGCCTCACAAAACTACCAATCCCAGGACTCTGTAGGATGGGGCCGTGGCAGTTAAAGTGCTGTCAAACTGTATTATTTCTACGGTGTAAAGATGCACCCTGAGTAGTTGGCTGGAATTTACTCACATGCAACTAACTGGGCATTGTTGTTTATTTATTTTATTATCATCAGTCAGTGGTGTAGTGGTTTTGAACATTGGACTATGACTCTGGAGACCAGGGTTCAAATCCTGGCTTGGCCATGGAAACCCATTGGGTGAACCTGGCTGAGTGACATTCTCTCAGCCTCTGAGAATGGCAATAGCAAACTCCCGCTGAAGAAATCTTGCCAAGAATACACCATGATAAATTTGTCTTAGGATCCCCATAAGTCCAAAAGGACTTGAAAGCATACAACGACAAAGCTCCATCCTGTGGAATCCAGGGATTTGTAGTTTTACAAGGTCTTTCACCCTCTATTCCAAAGAAGGTGGGCACTTCACAAACTTATAAATCCCAGGATTCTGTAGGATGAAGCCATATCAATTAAAATGCTGTCAGATTGCATTATTTATACATTGTAGATGCACCCGGGGTTTTGTGGAATTTATTCACATGCAAGTGGATAACTATCCAGGCACATTTTATTTATTTTACCATTAATAGTATCATCGCATTTTTACAGTCAAGAAAAATAGTGTTTGGACAAATTAAAAAAAAAAATTACCACAGGGCCAAAATAATTTGGACAGCTCTGGGTCCCACCTGTCTTGACTTGGGAGGGAGAGGTACTATTTACTGCTTTGCTTCTAGTTGAAAAATCTCCTGAGATCCTCTGTTAGGGGGGTTGCAGACTGCCAGAAATAGTGCAAATTGAGTCCACTTTTAGGGTTAGGGTTAGTGCTAGGGAATCATGGGAATTGTTTTTTTTTCTGAGACATTGAGCCTTCTCTGTCAGAGAGCTCTGGTGCCACAATAAACTACAGTTCCCATGATTCCCTAACTCTAACCCTAAAAGTGGACTCAATTTGCACTATTTCTGGCAGTCTGCAACCCCCCTTAATCCTCACTGTTTCTTCTCTCCCACCCATTCATGTCTCCTTGGCCATTTAATTGTAGACACAAAATGGGCAGAGTCATTGCTGCCATATGTGCCTTCAAGTCACCTGTTGACTTATGGTGATCTAATTAATTTCACAGGATTTTCTTAGGTAAGGAGTATTTATTTATTTATT